GTGCCCACTCACGCATGCCCACACCGTGCTCCAGGTGTCCGCCATCAGGTATGCATACTCCGAGCCCTCATTCCCAAGCGCCTCCTGCATTCAAGGCCACAGGTGATAGCCACAGAGGCCAGCGGCTCAGAAGCCTGAGCAATCTTCCTTTACCCTACGGGGGCACCTCAGACAGCCCGGTGAGGCAAAGGGGACGTTGATTCTGCCACTAAGGCAGCTGCAGGCCCTCCTCACGCCGACACCTTCTCCAGGGGAGCCGCTGGTAGGGGCAGCCCTGCCCACCCCAGGCTGCGAAGGTGCTTCTTTGCTCTGGCCCTGGGCCCTTCACATCCCGCTCTATCCTCATGTGCAGCTTGGGCAGCTCTCTCCCCTTCCTGCCTCGCTGGTTTTCTTTGCGCTGAAGGCCTAACTCCAGTACCTCAGAATGGACTCATTTGGAACGAGGGCCTTTGCAGGCGTGACTAGTTCTGATGAGGTCATGCTGGAGCAGGGAGTACTCCGAGTTCAATATGTCTGGAGTCCTTATAAAAACGTGGCCAGGTGAAGCCTGAGACACGGGGAGAAAGGAGAGCGTGTCTCAAGGTTCCCCATGCCTTAGCCTGTACCAGGCTTCGTTCCTTTATTTTTACTGTGGTTAAATATGCATAACTTCACCTCTACCCTGTGACCGCTTGGTGACGTTACACACACGTGTTGTGTGCCCCCCACCACCATCTCCAGACTTAGTCATCGTGCTATGCTGAGAGCCGAGTAACTACCCACTCTCTCCCCCCCAGCCCCCAGGTGCCTCTACGCCACTTCTGTATGGATGTGCCTATTCTAGGACCCTCACCTGAGGGGACCTGGACAGTATCTGTGCTGACTGTTCTGGCTTTTGTCACTCAGCATCGTGTTTTCAATGTTTCTCCAAGTTGTAGTCCTTATGGTCCTTTAGTTCTTTTTATGGCTGAATAATATTCCACCTTGGACACGCCGCTCGCTTGCAGGATGCTCATCCTTGTGAATGGTGCTGCTATGGACATGCACTTACATTTTGCTTGAGTCTTGTTTTCAGTTCTTTGGGGCTCCAGTTTCATTTGAAAATTCTGGGATATCAGCTCAGGAGTCCAGGCCACGTCACTATAGCTGTGCTGGGCAAACTGTGGGTGCCCTAGGGAGACCCCCTACAGGGCTGCATGCCCAAGGGCCTACCTACCCGTCCTGGGGTTCACCTTCATTTCGATGCTGAGCAAAGCTGGCCTCAGAAGTGGGGATGGCTCTTTAAAAAGAGCAAAGAACAGAAACAAGAGGGAAATCTGAGCTGCAGAGAGAAGCCGCTGCTACTCACTTCCACACTCGGCCTCTGTGGTGCTGACCGTTGAACAGGAACACTTTGCCGTCAGCATCTCCTCCGACATCCCAGCAGCCCCAGACCTGCCCAGACGCCTTGGGGAGAGGAGGTGACACATTGTCCTTGACATGGCATCCAGGGCATTTACAGGAGAAAACTTGGATCAGCCCAGATGGTGGCCTGGCCCCTACGGGCTCTGAAGGGCTCCCAAAGGCTCTGCTTTTTCAGTTGTGGGTCCTTTCTGCCTCATTCTGCGTTGTTCCTGCACCCGAGTTTATCTGGAAAGGGGAGTTGAGGAGGGTGCCTCAGGTGTGCCAAGCACATGAGTCACCAGGGAGCTTGTTAAAATAGTCTGAGGTTGGGCTGGGGTCCTGGGGAGTTTCTGCCTGGGGAGCTGGCAGAGAGAGCTGAGGGGGCAGGAGGAGGGCTAGGAGTGTGGAGAGCCTCAGGGCCGGGAAGGATGTCCCCACTTAAACCACGACCTTCAAAACTCTCTAAAGTAGAGAACTGGTCTGAGACCACATTGTGTTAGCTGGGACACAGGCCGGGCAGAGCCCAGATGGGGACTGACGCAACCTGCATAAAACAGGATTGAAACAGCATCTGAAAGTACAGTCGTCTTTTCTGTTTGCTTTGGACTTTTATAATATCAGCAGCAATAATCAAAATAACACCTACCACCTTAGACTAGGAATTGACCAAAGTGTTTTTAGGCTGAGATAATTTCTCTTCCTCTTTTAAAACTAGTATTTGGGGGCCATGGCCTAAAGGTTAAGTCTCAGCACTACTACCGCTTTGGCCTGAATTCTATCCCCTGGCCAGGGAGCTAGCCCACAGAGCGCAGCAGACCTCTCGCCCACTGCGCCCCTCAGCAGTGTATTTCAGTAAAATCTGCCTGTTCTGTTCCCCACTCTGTCTCTGGTAAATCCTCTCAATGCCCACAACCCAAATAACTAAGTATTTTATTTTATTTTTTAAAGATTTATTTATGCATACAACAGCTGGGGTACAGGCTAGAGATGCGGGCGGAGGGTAAGAGGATTCACCAGAGACAGAGTGGGGAACAGAACAGGCAGACTGACTGAAATACGCTGCTGAGGGGAGCAGCGGGTAAGCCGGGAGAGGTCTGCTGCGCCATGTGGGTAGCTCTCCGGCTGGCCAGGGATCAAACTCGTGCTGCAGAGGCTGCGGATTGCTTCATAGTGCGGTGTTTAACCCCTTGCGCCACCAGGGAGGCCCTAACTAAGTATTTTATTTTAAAATTGTCATTTTTATTTATACATACCAAAGTTGGAAAGACTATTCTTGTATGTTTCATGTTTTTTTATTTAAGAGTTAGTTTGAAAGGAGGCAGACTAAAGCTTATTTATCAAAGTGGTTTTGGTCATTAAAATAATACACCTTGCATTACAAGTTAAGCAGACAGTCTGCTGAGTAGGGCCCAGCCCCATGAACCTTCCAACAATTGGAATTTTTTCTGCATTTTAGTTCAGGAGAAAACCACAGTCAAAAAACGAAAACCAAAATGAGATGGGCAGGGGATTTATTTGAGTATATTAACTTCTAGGTTTTACCCTAGATCACTATACACTCTCTTACATCCCCAAAGTCTGTATTAGGATCCTGTGACCCTAAATGGGTTCAGTCACAAGGTTCAACAACAGATATTTGCTGAGAATCTTAAATACCAGGTGCATCAGGGATATAAAATTACCTGGAACATGGTCTCTGGCCGGGGAAGAACCTTCAGGTATTGGAGAAGGACTCATTTCTCCTCAGGGTGAAAGGGGAAAATTGTGTCAAGATAGTTTAGTTGAAAGATCCTCCATCAGGTTTAAAACAAAAAAGGTGTAAGAGACTCCTAGGAGCCTTACCTTCTTGAACATTCCAGGCTTGGAAGTTCTGTGTGATCATGTCTAGTTCTTAAATGCCAGGGCCCTTCCCTGGCTGGCCTTTCATCCAGGCTGCGGGAGAGCTTGGCATCTGGAAGCACAGAAGAGAAGATTCTGGTGAGTCGCTGTTGTTTGGGCCCAGCTTCCCCTTCCCATCAGGAGTGAATGCAAACAAGCCCCTTAAATTCCACCTTTATTCTTCACTTTCCCTTGGGAGTTGGAAGCCCTGCCATCCTACAACGTGTGCTCACTCTGACCAAGCTTCTTCTTGGCAGCACCGAGCAGGCTTGTGCCCCAGCGGGTCTGCCAGCCCACAGGCCACAAGCTGGCAGCTCGGGGGCCGGCGTGAAACACCGCCTGCACTATTTTAGCTACACAATTAGTCGCCATCATTTAAAAATCCGGTTTCCCATCGCGAGCCTGGACACCTGGCTTATGCGGGTTTCAGATCTGATGGTACTGGGTGGGGTTTGCCGAGTCCCGGGTGGCGCTGTGACGACCTCATCATCAGGCTTGCACTGTGGCTTCCTGGAGAAGCTGTGACCCTTGTCACCCATTTACCCATTGGTCTCTCGCCTTTCCAGATCATCGTTTTAAGTAGTGGAGGGACGGTGCTTGGCGGAGGTGAGCGTGTTCCCCTGGGTTCTCTCTCTCATGTCTGAGGCTCAGTGGACAAAGGTCTCCCCAGGTCACATCCAGCATTCGAGTGCCACTTGCCGTGAGTGAGACTGGGGTTTGCACACCCTGATCTCACCCCTCACGAGACTTCATGTTCCCCACACGCTGTGTCTTCACAATGTTGATTTATTGGCAGTTTACCGACGCTCCAACACGTGGGCGCTGACGTGTAACAGGTATAGCTGGCCCACCTGAGCATCGGTCAGGGCCGGGGGGCACAGGAACCCACGCGAGCTGACTGTCCGTTGACAACCTTAACGCATCTGCAAGTCCGACGTTCTCCAACTCTGTCCAACACCGTCAGTTGTTAAGGGCCCAAAGTCAGAGCAGATGCGGTGCAGTCCGGTCCGCACAAAGGCATTTCCAGGGCCTTGCAGTGACCGAGCTCTGCGGGCTGCGCCGTCTGGGCAGTCCCCAGGGAGCAGCGTGCTTCCTGCCAAAGCCCGGACTGGGCGGCAGCGCCTCAAGGAGCGGACTCTGCAGAGACGCATGTGCAGTTTGCTTGGTCTTCCTCATACTTTAAAGAGTCTTTCTGCCCAGGGTCAGTGTGTAGGGTTGTTCAGATGAGGTTCTCGAAAGTTCACCTAGGGTGTTTTCCTGGGGTGCTGCCCTACCACTGGTGTCTTTAAGTTGACGGGGTGCTGTCTGATTTACTCCCCCAAAGTGGGTTTGTGCTTTGACATTGGTGACGCCATCATATTCAGTAGAAGATACGGCATTTACAGCTCATCCAATAGTATGACTATTCAAACAATAAAATGCTCTCGCCACCCTCTATCCAGGAACGTGTCCCCGAGGACCGAGGCTGCATGTGGTCTGCATGTGCTCTGCTCTGTCACTGCCGGAATACCCCAACCTTTGCCTTTAGGGAACTGGTCCCTGTGCCCCAGGTGGGGAGGCAGTCACCACCATTGTTTCACTTCAGACACGGCTGGTGATGTTTGGAACCGAACAGGGGAAAGTACTGAATTCTTCAAAGGGGAGAGGAAACTTGCTGGCCGGCACCCCAGGGAGGGCTGTTCCCTGGGAGCTGTGACCTGCGCTAGTCGGCTTGGGATGCACCCGGGGCCCCAGGATGAGGGTCTTCTGTTCTTTCCTAGGCACCCCTTGGCCACCTTCTTCCACCTGTTCTTCCGAGTGAGTGCCATCGTCACCTACCTGTGCTGCGACTGGTTCAGCAGGAGCTTCGTGGGCTGCTTCGTCACCGTGCTGCTGCTGCTGTCCTTCGACTTCTGGTCGGTGAAGGTGCGGCCTCTGCCCTGAACCACGGGGCTGACCTGGGCTAGGGGCTTGGTTTAAAATGCTGTGACTCTTATGAATCAGGAGGCAAACGTTGCTCAGAGACAAAATGTTGACTAGGTGGCTTCCAGGGTGTCAGCTGTCCTGGTTGCAAACACGCATCCCGTGAGGGTGACTTCATTTCATTGTTTGTTGGTTAAATTCACAAGCGTCGTGTATTTAAACACACGTATGGACGCTTTAAGTAGATGCACATGCACATACGCACACATTTTTAAGCCTCGTTAAAAACTGGGAGCCTTGGAATCTTGAGAGCCCCCCCCAAGTCCATCCGCCTTTCTTCCCGCTCCCAGTACAAGTTTCACATGAACGGGTGACCTTTATTCCTCGGTTCAAAAGATCGGGGCTCTCACGACCTCTGATGTGCTAAGTCATTTTGTCCATTCTCAGAATGTAACCGGGAGGCTCCTGGTGGGTCTTCGCTGGTGGAACCAGATAGACGAAGATGGAAAAAGCCACTGGGTTTTTGAAGCCAGGAAGGTACTGTCATGCCGAGTCACCCCAGAAGCGGGAGCAGGGCTGTGGAGGGTGGCAGCGGGTTCTCGGGGCGCCGGGTATTGACCCCCACCCCCCATCCCCCCTCCAAGCCCTGAGAGGGAGCGAGTGTGGAGTGAAGCCATCGCCCGCTTCTAGGTGGCCACTGTCACTGGTTTTTGAAATTGACTCACTTTCCCACAACAGGTCTCTCCAAATAATGTGGCCGCCACAGAAGCGGAAGCTCGAATCTTCTGGCTCGGACTTATTATCTGCCCCATGATTTGGGTCGTGTTCTTTTTCAGCACCTTATTTTCCCTGAAGCTAAAGTGGCTGGTAAGGCAACACCTGGATCTGCCATCGCCCGGATGTCTCCGCAGAGCTGTGGCTGAGGAGAGGGTTCCTTACATAGCCACGAGGCACTGAAGCAGCTGTGCCAATGGAGCTCACCCGCTGGGAGGGCAGAGCTCAGCGGCTGCTGTCTACTCAGTCACGCAACCCTCGCCACAATCAACTTTAGGATATTTCCATCACCCCCCAGAGCACCCCTATACCCGTGAGCCATCACTGTACCCCCACTTCCCACGCCCTCCCCTTGGGATATACTTATCTGTTTCTATAGATTTGACTGTTCTCTAAATTTCCTATAATTGGAATGTACGGTCTTTTTAGGACTTCTTTCACTTAATTTTTTGTTTTAAGATTTATTTTTAGGGCCTCCCCTGGTGGCACAGCAGTTGAGCGCTGGGCTGCGAGGCTGCCCACAGCCTGTGCAGTGCCGGTTTGTTCCCTAGCCACCGGCGAGAGTCCCACAAAAAAAAAAAAAAAAAGATTTATTTTTATTAGGGCTCCTTGGTGGTGCAGGGGTTAAAGTCTGAGCACTGTCATGCTATTACCAGCCACGGAGCCTGAGGTCGGAGCCTGAGGTCGTTCCCAGGCCAGGGAGCTGACCCACATGGTGCAGCAGACCTCTCCTGTCCCGCCCACTGCTTCCCTCAAGACCTGGATGTAGGTCAGAGGCGTGGGGGTGAGAGAATTCAGCAGAGATAGAGTGGGGAGCAGGACAGGCAGATCTACTGAAATGCACTGCTGAGGGTCTGCTGTACCCTATGTGGACCAGCTCCCTGACCAGGGATCAAACTCAGGCTGTGGTGGTGACAGCGCTGAGATTTAAACCCCTGCACCATCCAGGAGGTCCCTCACTTAATGTTTTTAAGGCCCATCTGTCTTGTGAACACGTTGGCACATTTTGGACTAATACTCCATTGTTTGGCTGGGCCACATTCTGCTTGTCCATCCATCCACGGAGGAACTGGTTGCGTCCATCTCTTGGCTTGTAAGAATAATGCTGCAGGAGAGGAATTTAAAGCACAGGACATCCTACTTGGACAGGACACCCTCCTCAGCAGGAGTTAGCTAGCCTCTGAGTTTTGAGGTTTTCTTTCGGAGTTAGTGCCCTTCACCACTATGATCTGGTTTGTTCAATGAGCAACTGAAATATCCAGACAGTGAATGAGCCACGTGTGGGCTCTGGAATTTGGATCCTGGCTGCACCAACGTCAGCTCTGGAGCCTGCGGCTTCCTCCCTGTAAAGAGGGCTGGCAGTGCAGCCACTGCTTGGGCTGCTGCTGGTGTAAACCTATCCCTGAGCTTTTGAGAGCTCAGGAAAGATGGGTGGGGTCCAGGCCAGAGTCACTTCTGCTTGGCTTGGGAAGATTTCAATTTATGCTCTTAGGAAAAGTACCTTTGCTTTATCTGACCGCAGGCCCTCGTGATAGCTGGGATTTCTCTCCAAGCCGCAAACCTCTATGGCTACATCCTTTGTAAGCTGGGAGGTGAGAGTGACATCAGCAGGGTCACAGCCAGCTTTCTGTCCCAGACGGTGTTCCAGACGGTGAGTGTTTCATCACCTCGGGCCCCTGCGCTCCGGACAGTGAGACCTGTTGTAACCGCATTTTTTTACGTTTTCCTTTTCAGCCAGCTGGCCACTGTCTATCTTATTACAATATATAAACAAAGATATCGTTTTAACAAAAATAGCATAATAAAAATATATACAAGATCTGCCGTTTTAACCGCAAGGGAGGCGTACAATTAGGGGCGCTCAGCACATCTCCCTGGCTGGGCAGCTGTCACCACCTCCCCCCTCCAGGGCCCTTCATCTTCCCAGACTGGAACTGTCCCCACACACTAGTGTCCTATCCACTTTCTGTCCTAGGAATCTGCTGACTCTAGGGACCTCATACGAGGGGAATCATATAGCATTTGTCCTTTTGAGAACTTCCCTGCTTCATTTTTAGCGATTTAAAAAACTTTTAATATCATAAAAGTCTTAGAATGTCTAAGAACCACACAAAAAAATATTTTTTAACCTAACCCAGCATATATTTCTAGCACAGAAGAGATATGTTTCACCAGGCTCATCCTGAAAATCTTTTCTGTACCGGGTGGGCTTGCTCTGGCCTTGAACTGGCAGAATCAGGCCACTGATGTGAGGACAGAGTCATGCTCGCTCTCCCCTTGCAGGCCTGCCCCAGTGACTTCCAGAAGCCGGGCCTTGAGGGGCTGGAGATTCACCAGCGCTAGGTGAGAGGTGGGGGCAGGGTCTGCACGGCAGGGCCTGGGGGCTTTGGAGCATAGCGTCCTGGGCATAGCTGTGCCTGGGGTCCGGGTGGGCTGCCCAATACCCTTGGGGGCCAAATTGGGCCTTGGGCCTTCCTGGAGTTTTGCAGTCTCCCTTCCTCACATGAACACATGCAAATTCAAGCGTGGTTGGAGGTGCAGGCCTCAGGGGAGTGAGTGGCAGGGAAATGAGAATGGGTGGGGAAGAACACAGGGATCAGCAGCCTGCCACCTTTCTGCCCCAGGGTTAAGGGGGCAAATGGGAATGACTCTGTCCCTAGCTGGTCTTAGACAAGTGAGCAACTTGAGGCAGCGAGGATAATTTGAGAGCTGACAGCTCGCTCTCCTTTTTATGTAACTGAAATCCCTGTATGTTGTTCTGAAGGCCCCTGGAAGCAGGTGGGTGCAGTGTACACGCACCGGGTGCAGGCACAGCCCACAGCTGCTTACCTGGGGGTTGAAGCGCTCCAGGTATCTTGACAGCCCCAGCTGCACACCCACACGGGCCTCTGCCAGGCTCCCATGCACCCAGCACGCCCCAACTCTGGAGAGTAGCCGTGGGGACTGCCCAGCACGCCCCAACTCTGGAGAGTAGCCGTGGGGACTGCCTCGCGTGAAGTCTTGGCTTCATCCCTCCTGTTCTTTTTTTTTAGGCTCGTCTCTGAAAGTGGCAGTGGCTTCAGTGAGAGGTTCTGTCATCGGACAAGTTTCCGCCAGAGAAGAATTCCCCAGCCTGCCAGCTGGCGGCTTTTCAGGGGAAGCAGGCCTTGGGGGAGGTTTGAGGAAACATTTTTATTTTTTTTTAAACGGCATGTTTGGTAGAACACCCTTTACACATGTTCTAAAGGAGCGTACAAATACTAGAGGATGAAACTGAAAAAGTGGCTTCCACCAGGCCAGGCCGGTCCCTTCCTGTGACCCATGTGTCCCCGGGGCCGCCTGCGTCCTTCTGTGTTCAGGAAGGCAGGGGGTTCTCTTCTTTTGGCTGATGCAGGCTGCAGAACTCCTGGATTCCTGGAAAACAGGGCGATGTGTCAGCGCCTAGGCCGCCTTGTTCTCTGGGGCGGACTCTCCAGACAGCTTAATTCCCCAAAGAAGTCCTGTTTCTACCGAGGAATCCTCGAAGGTGCCCAGATACCAGCTGCCTTCCTATGGCCCATTCTGTGATCGGGAATTCCGGGAGAGATGTCATTTACCCTGAACACTTGCTCAACAAAGCCCAGCCACAAACTGAGGGGTAAAAACTTCAACGACAGGTTCTGGCTGCGACAGCCAGGCAAGGGCCACCTTGGCGGCTGAGCAGGCCCACGTGTGAGTTTGTCTCAGCTCCTGGAGCTTTGGGTTTTCTTCCTTCTCTTTGTATGGTTTCACTGAGATGTATTTCCTGTACCGTAAAACTCATGCGGCTGTGCTTTCAGACTGACTTCGCTCACAACATTGACATACTGGAAGATCCCCAGCTCCTGGTTGAGGGGGACACCCTCCAGGCCCTCCTACACCACTCCACCCTCCTCTCCCCACCCGAGGCTGTGCGGCTGTAGTCATTTGTGCTCCTAGGTGGGACCCGTTCACATCCCAGCCCACGTGGCTCATTTATTTCCCTTTCTGGCCTCGAAGGCATCAGAACTTACAAGACTCAATCACTTACTTTGAATTATGCTTCTGTAGGCTAAAGTGGCTGGCGAATCTGGTGCATCGGTCAGAAAAGACTGTCCGTTGTCACAACTCTTTCCTTAAAAAAACAAAGAAATCCCATTGAAATCCCTGAAGAAAACCTAGTGCCAACATGACCTTGGCACTTTCTGTGCCTGTGAGGAGGAACAAAGCCAAGAATGTTGGGGGGCTCCAGGACCACCCCACATTCCAAGGCAGCTCTGACTGTCCTATGGATCACTGGGGTAGTGGGTGGCAGTGCTGGTTCCAGGGCTCACAAAATGGAGTCAGCAGCTCCCGAGTGGCTCCCGAACCTGCACTGCACGGAGCAAAAAAAGTAGAGACTACAAAAGGTCAAAGGTGAGAAGCGTGTCTCAGACACCTTCCTGGGATTATGGGCACACAGGCAGCGCACGCAGGCTCGTCCGCACTCAGGTGCTTGAGAGTGGTCGGGGACTCGGTGCTCGTGTAGGCCCTGCTGCCCCACATACGACTGACCTGCCAGTCAGCACTGAGCACCTGCTGCCAGTGCGAGTGTGCAGCACTCGGGAGGGGTGAAACGCAGCTGGAGCTTTGGATGTGGTACAAAGAGGAGTTCAGGATCTAGTCTTGGGGGTGCCACGGAGCCTGGGGTCCCACAGACCGTTCTCCTCCTTGGAGCAGCTCTTGCCCCTTCCCCACTTCCACAAAGCACACATCCCCCAAACTGCAACTTTGGCCTCTGTTCTATACACCGCCTTGGGGACCCCTCCTCTACTCCTGGCCACTCTCCCAGGCCTGAAGACAAACCTAAGGCCTCCCCAGCCTGCAGACACAGCACCCCAGAGGGAACCCGCCACCCCCGACAGTGCCCCCCAAGTCACTCGGGGATGTCGCAGACAGCAGGCCTCTGACCCCTCCTTCTGCAAGACCGTCAAACCCTGACCCCTTGGCCGGCCAACACGAGGCGCTGCCCCCCCTGCCCTCCGGTGAGCCAGCCACGGGGCTCCCTGAGAACACACTGGTGCCCCTGAAACAAGTCCTCAGCTCGCATCTGACAAACGCAGCCGAGCTCCCGGGCTGCACACACAGCCGCCGCAGGGGCTCCCCCCTCCCCGCCAGCATTCTCCCTCCACTTCCAGTGGGCCGGGAAGCCGTCAGCACTGAACATGGGGCTCTGTTGGGGGGCAGGAATAGGACATGGAGGGCATCTTTCTAAGGGGTTTTTGAGGTTAATTCTGTCCATGACCCGCACCTCCAAACCTATTTCCCGTCCAAGAGGGAGCTCTACTGCCCTCTCCTGCCTGCATGGGCCCCAGGCCATTCCCCTCTGTCCCCTCTCCTCTCAGTATTCCTAGGACCTTCACCCCAGCTTTCCCTGAAACTCCCTGCCCCCCTCACCGAGGTCTGCCAGCTCCCCTGGTTCCAAGCGTGTTTGCGGATTCTCTGCCCTAGAGCTTGACTCGCAAGGGTCCCACTGCCCAGCTGTGGCCTGGCAGCACCGGGGCGAGGAGGGAAGGCTTTACTTGGCCACGAGGGTAGGAATGGGGATGCCCGCACTCACCCACCTATGTGTGGGTCCAGGGGCACTTTGCCCAGGAGGGGGACGTTCAGATCCTGGCACATCACCTCCGCACCCCCCGTCGTCGGCGGGAATATCTGAGACTCTTTCTGTGTGACAAGGGAAAAGAGGGAGGAGATGTGATTTTGTTTCAGAATTGAGAAGGCCCACGTCTTAAAACACCTTTTAAAAAGCTATTTTGTAATATCAAACACCAACATCCCCCAAAACATTCATTAAATTAGCAATAGAAGCTTGTAATTGAGATGCTACTTCCTGGGACAGGGGAGGAGCTGGCTGGCACCTAGGCAGCCGGCACCGCTCACCTTGCACTTGGGGCAGACGAAGCCACTCATGTTCTCCACCACCCCGATGATGGGCAGCTTCACCTTGCGGCAGAAGCTGATTTCTTTCCGCACGTCCTGGAGAGACACCTCCTAGCAAGGGCCAGAAAGTCTGGTGACTTCACAGTAAAAACAGGTTGTGTGGTGGAGGGGACAGGTGTCCTGGTCGATTTTTACCATCACAAAGACTTAAGAGAATAAAGCACAGCTGCTGATTTTTGGGGCTCCCTAAGAGTAATGGGGTGATAACGCAGCACGGCAGAGTACCAGTGCTGTGGGGTCTCCTCAGGCCAAGGCCCTCTCCTCAGTTTGGGGTCAGCATGGCTTGGCAGCATGTGACTGGACAGAAGGCGCTGGGCACTGCCAAAGAAGGGGTGAGGACCACAGCAGGTGAACCAAAAACGTGTCCACTGCCCAGGCTGGTTCTGCGGGGAGTTCCTGAATTGTTTTGACAGGCGTGTCCATGTGGGTACTCACCACAGAGCATGGCCAGGGTGACGTGACCAGGAAGGACTAAGTTACCGCAGCACCAAATCTAAATAACAGCAGCACCAAAAATCTCACTGGCTTTGTGAAGGGAAACTAAGAAGGCAATTCTGAACCTCTATAGTTTAATCCGTGGACCAAAAAACACTGTGGAATGCTTATTCGTCGTCGTAAGAGAAACCCAAGGTCCCTGAAGACCTGCCCAGGGTGTGGCTGAGAAGCCTCCCCAGCGGGCCCGGCTGCCCGCTCACCTGAGGTGTGGTGATTATCACCGCCCCGTCGATGCGCGCTGCCGTCAGGTACTGGACCACCGACAGGTGCTCGTCCGACGTGCCAGGCGGGGTGTCTACGACGAGGTAGTCCACCTCGCCCCAGTCCACATCTCGGAGGAACTGCTTGATCATGCCTGCAGAGAGGACCACGACACCCTGTTCTCTCAGTGGCTCTCCCAGAAGTACGGGTTCGATCTCCGTGACCCCCGATCTGTGCTCTGAATCTCGGGGTCTGACAGTCAGCATTTTTGGATGTCATTCCGGGGTGGGGGTGCTGCTAGCACCTGGCGGCTAGAGAAGCCAGGGCTGCCCACACCCTACAATGGCCGGCACAGCCCGCCCCTCCCAACAAGCTCCCTCTGGGACAAATGCCCGTCAACCCAGCACGGATGCCCCTCACACGCCTCTCTCTCGCTACCAAACCAGAGACAGGAAATTTCAAGGTTACACAGGTCTTAAGGGGAGAGAAACTCATAACACATTTTAATGACACATGGGAGCGAGTCCTTCTAGTAGCTGTCTTCGACCAGTGGAGAAGACCAAAATGGAGGCATCAGGGTGAGGCTCTAGAAAGCCCAGCAGATGAGAACTGACCCCTGAAGGGGATGGGCTGTGCGGGGACCTGCGATGGGGCTGCCCTTGGGAGAACGTGGCGGAAGACAGAAAGCAGAGGCACAAACCGTTCTTCTTTGGTCCCCTCCAGATAACAGCATCGTCAGGACTGCTGAGCAAGAACCCCACCGACATCACCCCCAGGTTGTCTTCCAGAAACTGGAGAGAACAAGCAAGAAGCACTCTACTTTATTTTTATTTATTTATTTATTTATTTTAAGATTTATTTATTTATATAAGCACTGGGTACAGTCAGAAATGCGGGAGGGCGAGGGAATTCACCAGAGCCAGAGCGGGGAGCAGAGCAGGCAGAAGGACCGAAGGACACTGCTGAGGGGAGCAGCGGGCGGCAGGAGAGGTCTGCGCGCCATGTGGGACCCTCCTCTGGTGGCCGGGGAGCAGCCGGGGATCGAACCGGCGCCGCAGAGGCTGCGGGCAGCTTTGCAACCCAGCGCTCAACCGCTGCGCCACCGGGGAGGCCCAAGCACTTTACTTTAAATCACTGTGCAAGACACGTCCCTATGTCTTCTGAGTTCTAGCTAAAAAACCATCTGGGGACAAAGTTACCATGTGACCTAAGCTGCCTATTCGCTCTTTGAATCCTCAAATCATTTTTGAAGACAAAAAGGGCTGCGCTATTGGGGGGCATGGACTGGGTCCAGGCGGCCCTGTGCTGCGTGATAGGAACTGGCTGAAATGAAGGAAAACCAGCTCCCTAACTGGCCCCCAGCCTAACCCTGCCCACTTCAGTGTCCGTAGTTTTACTGGAACCCCGGCACCCACTTTCACTACGTCCAGCTGCAACAGCGGGGCGCACATGGCCTACAAAGCAAATCTAGTTATCGCCCAACCCCAGCCTCAACTATTCCTTGTGCCTAGAAAAGTTCCCACAAGTACTTGCGGCTGACGAACAAGTGGCCAAGAACAGCCTGCCTGCCTAGCACGTCTGTGCACACACGCCCCCCGCCCCCCGCAAGTAAGAGGCGCGGACACTCACCACAGGAGACCAGCCCGAACCACTCTGGTGAACCTGCATCAACGGAGCAAGCACATCGTTTGTGAGGAGCTGGCCACACTCCAGGCGCAAATGCCACCATTTTATAAAAATACAATTCATCGTCTCGTGTGCTGAGTTCTCAGTAGGGAGTCAATGGCTGGGTGGGGGATGGGCAAGGGAGGCACAATTAATCCAACACTTTCTCCCCCCAAGGGGGGCTGTTTTGAAACTCTGCTCAGGTGTCTAGTCAAGGAAGCAAATAACCTCAGTTCAAATAAAACTCTGGGTCTGTGGTATGTGAAAGTGTGATGGCAGCTCCTGACAGAATGCAAGTAATCACGGAAGCAAGGAGGCGGCCCTGGCAGGAGGCCGGAGTGAAGGGACTCGCCGAGGGACACGGCAACGCCAAGGTAGCCCAGGCCGCGGCAGGAGTTTTAGCTCCGCTGGCCCAGGGGCGGGGCTGGGGAGGGGTGTCGCTGGGGCTCAGGATTAAGGCTTTCTTCCAGCGGGGTCGCCAGCAGCCAGGGCTCAGCTGTTTCCCTCTTGCTATGAAATTAGAACTTAAGCAACTTCCAATTACACATCAACCTCAGAAATTAAGCTTTAGAACATAAGCCTATTTTTTTTTTTTTTAATGAAGACTTGCTTTTTTAAACAGCTACATAATCCACATGGCACATAATTCACCCATTTAAAGCACACAATTCAGTGGCTCTTGGGATATTCAGATTTGTACGTCCACCACCATAATCACTTTAGGACATTTTTATTACTATAAGAAGATACCCTGCACCCCCAACCTGTCACCCCCAATCCCTACGTGTCCCCCAGCCCTAGTGGCCACCATCTGCTCTGTCTCCCTAGATGAGCCTGTTCTGGACATGTCACAGAAACGAAATCATGTAACATGAGCCCTCTGGCCTCTGAAGTCCTGCTCCTTAGAGACACACTCACTCCTAGTTACACGGTTCTCTAAGTCACTGGTGACGATCCAACAGCCCGGAAGAAAACAGCCCAACTTTTATTTCATCTCACCGTTCACAAGTCTCAGTTTTTGTAAGCTAATTGTAGTGTGTATACGGGACACACACACATGAATGTTTAAACATCAGGGGGCACGTGCCAGGAGCTTGATGACAGGTGTGATCACAGGGGTCACCTACCTGATCCTGCGCCCTGCCAGCCCCCGCCACAGCAGGAAGCCCTGAGCAGAGCCCACAAGGGCTGGCCCATCTGCCCCGGCTCCTCTCCAGCTGGCGCCCCCAGCCCTCTGCCCCCTCTGCCACTCTGCTGAGGACATGAGGACACTCCTGCTTTGGGCATCTACACTTGCTCTAGGGGGGCCCTTTGGCAGGCTCTCAGAAACAGGGTGACCCTGAGCACACCTCCCTGCCACCTGCCCCTTACGCTGCTTTAGTTTTCTGTGACTTGTCGTCTGCCCCTCCCGCAGGAGCCCTCTGCCTTGTTCATCACTGCTCAGACCCAGCCCTGATGCCCCGGGGCAGCCTAACCCTGCCTGCAGCCTAGCTCAGTGGACTGCCCTTGGGGAACTCATCTTGGACTGCTTTTTGCCCCACTCTTGGCGGAGAGATGGGGAGATCCCAGCACCTGCACTCACTCTTGGCCCTGCCGCCTCCGGCATCGCTCTCCCGCAGTCTCAGTTCCCCAGGAGAGCCCACAGGCAGAAACATTCCCTTGCTTCCTGGGGAAGAGCCCTAGAGAAACCAGCCCCACGCTCACATCCCAGCTATGTTTCCGTGCCTTACTTCTGCATCTGGCGCACTGTTTCCCTTCCCCTCTAAGGCAACATCCATAGGAACACTTCCCACGTGCTCTGCGTGAACTTGAATGTCATCCCGCCTCCAACGTGCACAGCTGTTAAACAGGTGGTTGAGGAAAACATCTGCCTGATTTCGCTGTGTCCGTGCAGAGGCAGGCCGCTGCTGACCCCAGTGTCTAGTGGTAGCAGCGCAGCCTGCTGCGCCCCAAGACACTTCCCTGCGCCTGTGAGGTGACACTTACCTGCTCTCCTTCCAATCCCATGATCTTGGGAATTGATGGCCCACATATATCAACGTCCAGGAGAGCAACCTGGGGAGCAAGAAAGCAGAGCAGTGATGTAACTGGACACGATTCTCCAGAGGTGCACAAGTGGGAGGGGACGGAGTTTGAGGAAAAGGAAGTGAGGAAAATGGAAGAAACCAGGTCAAACATGGACCCAGTGGAAGCGCTTGAGCATGAGATATAACACTGTTCTTCTAGGCCATGCAGGAACAGTCCAAAACCTCTAAACAGAGTCTGGCAGAGTGCAACCCCACCCCGAACCTGGCCTTGCAGTGTGGGGAGAGGGGCGTCTATGGGCACTGGTGCCAGGTCACCTGGGGACTCAGGCTGTCACCACCTACTCAGGCCTTACCATGCGCCTGGGGGATGGTAACTGGGGAAAGTAAGGGGCACAGAGGCCCAGGGGCTTGTTCAATGAGCAAGGAGCAGAGGGACATAAACCAGGGACTCCCCATTCACACCAGGGCTCTTCCTCTGCCCCTGGGGCCAGGCCAGAGCACTCCCTCCAGCAGCTCTCCGACCCTGTGTCCTGAAGATCAATGACAGTTCAGACAACTCCCAAAACCAAAGGAAAAAAAGAAACCTAGGAAAATTTTTTGCAGATCCTCAGATGAACACCCTGCCCCAAACACCTGCTTCCTTGGTCTGACCCACGAGGGGCCGAGTTGGCCGGCGTGGGGCCAGCGTTCACCTTGAAAGTTCTCATGTCTAGGATCCAAAGTGCAGCACTTCTGGGTAATGTTTTAATTTGCCCTAAATTTGCTTCTTGCTTCCCTCTTCAAACCTCTCTTCAGACCTCAACCTCCTACTTCCCCAGGATCTCAGGGGACCCTCACACGCAGCTCAGCCTGCAGCCTCACGCGCCCTCTGCTGGAGCACGAGGATAGTGCAACAGGACACGCTCCTGGCCTCCTGGATACTTGGGGGTCAGGGGGTTGTTAATGACCCACAGACGTTTCATACCAGAGTGTCATGATTTGGGAAATTAAACTATCACTACGGCCCGAGATGTTTGTCAATACCCTCAGGTATCTAGCTACTCTGTGTCCTCTTTGGAGAACAATTTAATCAGTTTCCTTCTGAGGAATTACAGGCCGACAAACCAATGGGGTGAATACAGCAAACTGATGCAAGAATGGGTCATGTGCAGTTGCTGCCATGGTGGTGTCTGAAATGGCTGCTGCCAGACTTCCTATTGGCCCTGTCACAAGCCCAACACCATACAATTACTGCCAGAGAGCCCAGTTATTTCCAGGGCCCCTGCCTGCCAGAGCAGGTTTGTGCTCTGTGGAAGGTGCTAGAAGCCTGATGGGAAGAAGCCCTGGCTGCACTGGCCCAGCCAAAAGTGGGGGTGAGCGGGAAGCAGCTACAGGGCTGTTGGGCTCAAAGCTTCCCCTTACCACGCACCCCAAGCTTCCCCTTAAACAGAGGTCACGGGAAGTGGATTGAAGCCCTAACTCTCGGGGCTCCTGGACTGTGTCACTCTACAGTTGCTTCCCCACCCCCACTCCCATCTGTCTGGGCTTCTGCTCCATGAAACAAGCGTTTGTAGAAATGCTGGCACCTTCCAGCTCGAGTCTGCAGGCCCGAGGAGGCGCGATCAAAGTCCAGCACGGCAGCCTGAGGCAGAGTGCGGGCCTTTCAGTGACGAAGGTTGCTGTCCAGATCCCAAGGCAACACGATCTGGTAATTTATGGGCACTGGTGACATCGACAGTGGACACATGGCCTATGAATTTGCACGGCTCATAGCTCAAACTTCCATACAAAGGCTCCTTCTCCCTTCACTACACCCTGCCTGTACCTCCCAGCCAGCCTGAGATTAACTCAGGGGTGTCTTCCAATGCTGCTCCCACTTGAGTCGAGGCCCCGCACAAAGGAGCTGTTAGACTGGCCTGCAGGAGCTCATGTGGACAGCCTGGCTCACAGCCAGCAGAGCACAGGGTGGCCCCCTGCAACGTGCTGCACGGGGTGGGGGTGGAGGTGCGGGGAGGGCAGGCAGTGGGGGAGGAGAGGATGTGCGACTGGACTAGCCAACAAGACAGTCCAGTGTCCAGTGTCCACACTGCACCTTCACGGTGTGCCCTCTGGAGACAGTGGGGCTTCCACTGTCATGAGAAGGTGCTTGGGGGAGACACACCTTCTATGTGCAGACTTGTTTAAGTCTGACCTGCAGTGAGAAACCCGCTTATCCAGCCGCACATCCATGCTGGATAGGGCCTCCCTTCGCTGTGCTGCAGAGCCCATGCATGCGCCAGGGCTTCTGGGGAATCACGCGCCAGCAGTCACCCCTACTCACAAGCAGTAATTTGTAACCAGCCTGGCTCAAGCCCATGTCCAGGGAGCTGCTAAGGAACACGCCTGACAGCTTCTAAGAGCAAAGGTTATTCTGGGTAACAGTGATAACCTGAGAATTTCTTGGCCTGCCAACTGGTCCATACAAATTTGACCATCTGGTGGCAGGAGATGGCTGGCTACCAGAAAACAGAACTGACGAGTACATTTTGAACTCAGCACTGCTCTCTGACCAGGTGCAAACTCAGCACTGCTCCTCCATGGATAGGCAGGTACTTATATCAAGGTTTAAAAGCCACCACTAATCAATGAAAAGCCATTCTTAGCTCACAGGGCACAAAGACAGATGGGCTGGATTTGGCCATGGGCTCTGGTCTACCGACCCCTAGGATAGGAACAGGAAGAAAAGGGCTAATAAAGAAAAGAGGTTCTAAGCCTGATGTAACAATCAGCATGTCAAGAGAAAAGGACACTTGCTTTCCATTTCCACAGCTGGAGAAACCCATCCAAGCCTAGCTTGACTGCCTGGCTAAGCCTTCCCTGCTCTCCCTGCAGGGATCTGGATTCCCAAGAGGCCAACCCAACTCAATTTCAGGGGTCAGTGCTCAGCAAGTCGGCATGAACCCTCAGACTGAAGGAACTGCTCCCAGTTTTTCCCAGGGCCCCACCTGTGTGTTTTCATCCTCCGCTAGGACGTGGGCCAGGTGGGCACTGAATGTGCTTTTGCCGACACCGCCTTTCCCAGACAACACCAAGATTATGTGTTTCACGGTCTTCATCTTCTCTTTGATTTCCTCTATGGCTGCAAAGGAAGCAGTTCAGGTGATGAAGTCCCTCACTGAATCCTAGATGCCACTCTTCCCACAGGGCAGAAGAAACTACCATCCCGGGGCACGTTTACCAGGATCCTGGGTGAATCACCTGACCACCTGGCCAGTGGTGGTGATGAGTGCCGCAAAGGAAACGGGGCTGTTCTCGCACCTGGAACTTCCTCCTCAGTTGTTTCCTCCCCCTATCGGGACACTAGCTCCATGAGGGTGGGGACTCCGAAGTGGACACCACCGTATTCCCAGCTCTACACGGGGCTTTACCCATTACACAGTAATGGGTCCCAATCTGGGGGAAAATCTGCCAGGGGATCCCTGACAACATCTGGGGACAAATTTTCGTTGTTACAGGAACCAAAGGGACCACTGGCATGCAGTGGTTAGAGGCTAGGGATGCTGATAAATGTCCAACAGTATTCAGGACAGTCTTCCTGACAAAGAATGACCTGGTCCTGAAAATCAAGGGTGCCAAGACTGAGAGTCCCCAATGAAGTGTACAACACCAGGAGATAATTATTTTCTTCCTGTTTTTGATGCGGAAATGGAGTGTCAGAGAGGTTCAGGCTTTTGCTCAAGGTCATACTATTTGCAGTGCGCCAAGGGATCGAATCTAGGTATCCCTGCATGCCATCCAAATTCTCCCAGCTTCCTTCTGCTTTTTAAAGATCCTTTAGCGGCTCCAGAATCTGACCCCCCACCCCCACAATTTGTCCTTCTCAGTACTTATCACTGGAATTTATTTGCTAGCTTGTTTACTGTGGGGCTTCCCTATTAGTAAACTCCACCAGGGCAGTGGCATGACATTGACAACTGTATGCCCAGTGCTGGGCACTGTGCCTCGGAGGTGATCACACATATTTCTGTTGAATGACCTGGAGAATCCATCTTTTGCCCAAAGGAAGAAAATTTTGTCCAAAGGAAGAAATTTGCAGAGTCAGGATTTAAGCCTGAGCTCCTAAACTTCCAAATTTATATCCTATTCCCTCTGCAGGGGGCCGCCTCCCGACCACTGCACTGCCACTCAAACGTCAGGTCCCACCCATCAACCCTGCGGACTCTCCCAGGCTCCGCCCCATCTCAGCCTTTAAAACCCCGCCCCCGGCACTCAGGCCCCGCCCCTCGGCACTCAGGCCCCGCCCCCAAGCCCCACTTCCCCTCCATCCACGCCCGCCTCTTCCGGCCTGCGCCGTCCACTTCCCGCCCAGGCCCCGCCCCTTGCTCACCGGGGTCCGGGGCGGCGCCGGCTCCAGAAGCGCACAGCCGCTGGTTGGGGCACCCCTGGCAGGAGGCCCCTTGGCCAGCCTGGGCGGTGCCGGTCCCGGGACATCCTTCGCGGGAACAAGATCACAGTTAGAGGAACTCCTGCCCCTGGGCCCCAGCACCCACCCCCTCCGCGCGCTCACCCTGAGGCACCTCCTCCATGCCGCCGCTGGGGCGCCGACGCAGGCTCCGGAACCCGCGCTTGCGTATTTCCTCCCGCCGGCGCCCGATCTGACGCTCCAGCCGCGCGAAATAAGTGTCGGGCTGGGGAGAGTGTGTGCGCACGCGCAGGTCCGGCGGGGACGGCGGGGCTGCTGGTTCGGTTCCCCTTCACAGTGGGCTGTGCAAGACGTTGCCCTGCATCGCCCTCACATCGTCTTATACCTAAGAAATTTCGTATGCATGCTAATTGCGCTGTATTATGCCAAATGCTAGTCGCCTCAAGTTCAAGACAGCCCCCAATCTTGGCCACGGAGGCACACCCGGCCCTCTGTTCCACCTGCAGGCCAGGCCAGTTGCCCGGCAGAGTGTTCCATAATCGTCATTTGTCTGATACCCGCCTCTTCTCCCCGTGATTAGATTCAGGGTGAGTTTTGGGCTGGCTGGCTCCAGGGACGGGACTCCGGTGGGGTGAGGCAGCACCCCCATTAGGGGCCCTTGCTGGCCATGGGGGGCGGGTTGCTCGGTCCCACATGGAGTCTGCCCTGTTTCTGCTGTGGGCGGCGCCTTCTGCCATTGTAATCCGTTGAGGACTCTGCAGGATGATAAACTGAGACCACCTGAATGTCCCATTCTCCGTCAATCTTTCCATACAGGGCAACCCTGATATAAAACTGGTTGCCTGACTGTGGGTCCTCACCCGCGCCTAAAGGGGACTTATTAATGCTAAACTGCAGGCACACACAAAGGTTAACAAAAGGTTTATTCGCAGTGGAAGGGGGAATGAGGAAATGTACAACTCAGGGGGAAAATAGGGAGATAAATTCTTAAATGCGTCCTACCCATTCTGCTGACCTGGAATCCCAAATGACCCCAAGACCAAACCTGCCTAGCCAAGTGCCCGAGACCCCCCAAACATGGCTGGTTTTATTTACAAACAGCAAAAATGGTTGCTTAACTCCACCCTTAGGTTTTGCAACTTCCCTTTGGGGATCAATCACGGGGTTTGTAGTTCCCAGTGTCTTGATGGAGTGGGGGTGGCGTCCACAAAGCCTGTATGGCGTTTGCTCAGCACATCCTTTTCCCCTAACAATTCCACTTAGTGGTTTTAGGATCATTCTTGCCTGAATCAGTTATAGTGATATTTGCAAAACTGCCTTTCCCAGCCCTGTCATTATCCATTATCTTTATTATTGGCATCCTTCCATAAATGATGGCATTCTTGTCCCCTCTTTTTTTCCTTAGACTCACTATGAACTTCTGTGTTTTTAAAATTCTGACTCTGTGGTTTAGAAGTCGCTGTTCTTGCTGGTCGACTTTGTCCCCAAATCTCCCTCCCAGTCAGCATTGTTTAAGATGCTAATCCAAATCCTTTGAGCACATCTTTCTTACATGGTGAGATGTTCTAGGCTTCTCTTCCACATTTCCTACTGCAGTCATTTCTCCAAGGAGCTGGGGTTGCTTCCCTGGGGAATTAATGATCCAGGTCTTGGTGCCAGGTATGCTCACCACAGCTGTTAGAGGGCCTGACTGGGTCCTAACCCACGTGCTTAAAAGGGACTTGTGGGCCTCCCTGGTGGCGCAGGTGGTTGAGCCCCGCACTGTGAAGCTGTCTGCAGCCTCTGCAGCGCCGCCGGTTCAATCTCAGCTGGCCAGCGAGAATCCCACATGGCGCAGCAGGCCTCTCCTGTCTCGCCCGCTGCTCCCCTCAGCAGAGTATTTCACTCAATCTGCCTGTTCTGTTCCCCACTTTGTCTCTGGTGAATCCTCTCACCCCCCGCTACTCTGGCCTGTACCCCAGCTCTTGTATGCATAAATAAATAAATCTTTAAAAAAAATAAAATGTTTCGGTTCCTCTGATTAAAGGTGGCAGTGACTAAGAGCACAAAATTGAAGTTAAAAAAGTTTTTTTAATGTTGAAAACCTAGTTAAATCCCGTAGATTTAAATAGCTACATTTTTTAGGATTGACGGAGTTTGTAAAACTAGAGTGCAAAAATCAGTGATGAGGGGCTGCAAAGGGGGGCAGAGGAGGGAGAGAGGCAGGGAGGGAGGAGGGATGGGCAGAGACAGGATTTGGGGGCCAGGAAACTACTCTGAGGGGTGCTATGAGGAGGCCCAGACTGGACACCACCAAGTGTGAGCCTGAATGTAAATTACCTGTTTTCTTAATTATCAATATTGATTTGCCAGTTATAACAAATGTACCAGGACAATGCAAGGCATTAATAATGGGGACAAGTGGGGTGGAGGAGAAGGAACATGCAGGAACTAGCTGAACTTCCTGATAAATTTTTCCAGACACCTAAAGTTGCCGCTCCCCCCACCCAAACAAAGTCTGTTAATTTTTCAAAATTTGTTGATATTTCTGAAGGATTAGAACTTAAATCTAGACCAGGACTATGGGGTGCTCTGCCCCACACCCCTCCAGAGCAGGCTTCCTGGCCCTGCCCACCTTATAACCTGGGGAATTTTAGACCCGAATCCTTCTCCCCCACACCAATTAAATCATCACAGGCCCTGGGCCTGATCCTACTTCTCAAGGTTTGGGGGTGCATCCCCCACTCCAACAAACAAGGCTCCTGACCCCAGCTGGAGGCCTGTGATTCAACTCCACCCCACCTCTGCCCGGAGATGGCGTTGGCTCCCACAGGGTACGGCTCAGGCACAGGTCTGTCTTCTTCCCACTGCTGATGACGAACCCAGGTTGTCACCTCTGCTTCCCCCCTCCTGACTGCAGGTTGGGGGTTTAACAATCCTCCCCTTGGACTTTCGGGCTGTCACCTGTTCTGACTGTGATGATGGGTCAGAGGCTCCCTCATCTCCTCCTTGGTCTCAATTAAGTTGCTGGAGCAGCTCAGAGAACTCAGAGAAACTTAGAAAAAATTTGCTTCTTCATTCCTGGTTATCATAAAAGGATAAACACATCACAGAAGGATATTGTAAAAGGATCAGGAACAGTCAGAGCTGCACTGGGCAAGGAGTAAGGGAGAGGGTGGGCTGCTCCCAGGTGCTCTCCCCAAAGCTTATTTGGGTTTTGATGGGGGCTTCGTTACACAGACAGGATTGATTAAATCATTAAAGGACCATTGGCCAGAGGTCCAGGTACTGAAGGTTTCCACCCTCCAATCCCAGAGATGGTTCCCCCGGCAACCAGCTTCTGGCCTTACAGGCCTCACACACGGTTAGGTCCCTTAGTCAGCACTAACATAACAAGAGGCACCTTCTCAACTCTTAGCCTTTAGGAAATTCCAAGGGTTTTAGGGGCTCTGTGCCAGATTGGGACAAAAACCATACACATTTCTTATTATAAATCACGGAATCACAGCATGTTTTAAACACTCCCCAGGGGTTCTGGTGGTGGCACTACAGACTTACTCGGAGGCAGTGACGGGTGTGAGGCGGGTGAGGGCGGGCTAATCATACTCTGAAGGCAGATGACACAAGTTCAAATCCATGTCCAGCTTTTAGGGCCTGAATAACATTGGACTAGTCACTGCATGACCCTGCTCCAGTTTGTTCCTCTGTAAAATGGAGGGGGAGGTAGTTAGATCATTTGCCCCGTGAGATTTCTGTTGGGATAAGAGTTTAATTCTTGCAAAGCATCAAGAGCAAAACATCCAGAGAGCAAAGGTGCAATACACGGGTGGGGTGGGTGGCTGAGGCTTAGGCAGGGAGAGTTTCCCTTAAGGCATGGCGTGTTAGTGGGTGAAACAAGATGAGAACCTGTGTTAAAATGGTTAAGAATTTAAATACTGAATCAGTGGGACAGAAGCATTTAAATACCTGCAGGTGGAGAAAACGCCATCACGCGCCCTGGAGGTGCTGCCTGCAGTTCTGCATTCCACCAGTAGATGATGCTCTTCCCCAACAGATCATCAAATTTTCCCCATGTGGGGAAAATTAAATTTAGAAGTAGAAAATTTTCTACCTCTTTCCTTGAATCCAGCAAAAGTATCACCTAAAGAGCTACATACATGCCAGGCACTTAACATACAATTGAATGAAAAAATAAGACTCCATTCTTTATACGTAGAGAAGTTGATGTGTGTTGTTCAAGAGCATAGATGTTCTAAACACCCGATATTTGCATTAAATTCCAGCTCCCCCGCCACCAGCTTGTGCCCTTCCTTCAATTCTCAGTTTCCTCCTCTGTAAAATGGCAATATTTACAATAACCTCGAAGGGTTATTATGGGGAGGAACAAATAATATGAGTAAAATTATGTTTTTAAAGCATCTGGTACATTTAAGCCCTAGGTAGGTGCTAGGAATTATTAGTTTGTTTCTTAAACAGCTTTTTTGGGGGGCCCCCCCAGTGGTGCAGGGGTTAAGTTTTAGCACTGTCTTGCTATTACCCATTGCTTTGAACTGAGTTAGATTCCCCAGCCAGGGAGCTGACCCACATGGCACGGCAGACCTCTCCTGTCTCCCCACTGCTCCCCTCAGCAGTGTATTTCAGTGGCTCTGCCTGTTCTGCTCCCCACTCTGTCTCTGGTGAATCCTCTCATCGCCCCCCACCTCTGGCCTACACCCCAGTTATTGTATGCATAAATAAATAAAAATAATTCTTAAAAAAAACCTCAGCTTTGTGAAGGTGTAACTGATGGACAATAAATTGCATGTATTAAATATGTACAACTGACATGTTTTAACTTATGTATACACACCGTCACCGCAATCAAGATAGTCAGTTCATGTATCATCTCCCTCCCCCAAAAGAAGCTGATCTTTCATAAGTCAACAAAAGAATCCTGCCAGGACCCAACCAGTCTGCCAGCCTCAGACATGTGAGAAACAAATTTGGAACACGCGTATATAGTATATGCTCTGTCACTCATGCTTGTGAAGGAAAATATACGCATATACATTAAGTATGGAAGACTTAATCAAAAAGTCACAGTCTCCCTCTGTGCCCCCACGCCCCACAGACTTCAGGCCCTCTCCAAAGGTGATCATCCAGCACTGTGTATCCTCCCACATGTGTGTCTGTGCGATGACTTGCATGTTTGCTTCAGCAATGTCACAGCTTACAG